GGGAGAAGTTAAGCCACTTGGCTAGCAAAATTTTGGAAAAAAACAAAAAATAAAAAAAAAAAAAAATAAAATCAAACAAAAAAAAGACATTTGGAAAAAATTTATTGTAAAAATCGATTTTTAAAAAATAAAAAAAAAAAAAAAAAAATTGTGTTTATTTGTAAAATAATGGTATACGAAGTCCTTAATAGTTGTGTCCTAAGATGAACCTGTATTGAATATGTAGCAAATAAATATATTTCTCACATCCTGTAGAATCTTTTTCATTTTCACCGTATCCACACCTATGCCTCCATCCACCGCTTTCCTAGATTACACCACTATCCTTGTGAAATCTATCACCCATACTGGTTCTGTACAAGCTTCCAATTGGCAGGCACCCCCTCCGCCTTACACAGCAATCATTCTTCACCACCAGGCACTAATTTCAGTCCTCACCATCCGCAGAGCCTTCTCGCTCTAGGAAGCACTTTATTTTGAAGCCTGTCAGATAACTTAAAATAAAAAAAGAGATTTATAAATATACAAAAATCCAGGTATAGAAAATAAATAAATGTAGACAAAATAACCCTGAATTACATGGTAACAACTATATAACCCCGCATTACATGTTAACATCTCTATAAATGTAGACATTATTATCAGTATAATCCCATATCGAGTATTCATCATCTCTTAGATCAGATAATATAATTTTTTCCACACCAACTCCCTAAACTACACCACAGACTAATCCCGCCCCCCTCCCCTCCCCCACTAGCAAAAAAATATACACCCCCCTTTTTTACAACTTTAAAACTTCAGGTGCATTAACAAAACAATTTAAATACAAATTTCTCTTCTGGAGTCAGTAACTAAATAATAACCCATAACTAGATGCGAACCTATCAACCTATATACAAAAAATCTATTCTTGGACCAATAACCAATAACTAAAAAAGAATTTGTAAATCTATCTGCAAAAAAACCATCTGCAATAAACCATAGCAATGACTGAACGTTGTAGAATATATAATGATTGTAATGCACTGGTAGTGAGAGAGTGGCTTGGACAAGGTTCTTTTGGAGATGTTTACACTGTGGATTACCAAGCTCCAGGAAAGGTTATTGAAACAGTGGTTGTGAAGAAAGTGTTGCCCGCTCTGGACCAAGAGGAGAAGAGACTTTCTTACAAAGAAGTAGCTCTTCTTAACGGACTGATTCATCCCAATATAGTGAAAATGAAAGGTGTGTGCCAAAATCCGCTCGCGATTATGCTTGAATATTGTTATTTTGATTTTAAGCCGTTTGGTGAAGATTTTCATTTTGCAAACTACAGATTCTCATTTCACAAACTACAGATTTCCATTTCGTTTCGTTCCATTTCGTTTGGCAAACTACAGTAAGCCATGTCATATAAGAAAAGAGGCAAAGCGATTGGCTACAAATTTCTTTCCAACAAGATAGAAGTGAATGAAAATTCTAAATTTAACACTTCTGAACCAAAAGGAACTACTGAAAAAGTTCACAGAAAACAAAAATAAAAAGAAAATGTGTGATCAGAATGCACTGCCCAAGATAGTGTGTGTCCACTTAGTGGCAATTCAACTCTAAGTAATAAATTCAAAGTTCTTCATGATAAAGAGAAAACGGACAATTGCAATGGTTATTTTGAGGTTAAAGAAAAAGAGGAAAATGTTGCCTCTGGGAATGTGGCACATGATTTTGATTTAGGCTCTGATAAAACTATGGTCAAGGGGTTTGAGAGTTTTGACAGTGATAGTAACTATAGTGAGTCACAGGAAATGGTCGCATTAATGGTTGATAGTGATGACAATGACTCGGTATCTTGGGACGGACATGGAAGTGACAAAATGTCACTTTCCGAGGATGGTACTGATCTTGCCAATGGTGAGGTAGAAGAAACTAGAGGACGTGATGAGGTTGTTGTACCAGAAAGTAAAAAGGTCACAGTGACCGGTTGTGAGAATGTCGCTGATGATAGAAAAATTATGCACAAAATTGAAAAGTAAACACATCCGAGCTACTCCAACTGTCAATTGTGGCTTTAGAAAATCTGAAGTGGAATCTGAGATAGATATGAGATGGATAGTTTATTAAAATAAATAAATACATGGGCAGCCAGAGGCTGAATTGCATATTTACAAATAAAACTTAGCTGAACATAGACTTATATCAATATTAAAAATTCATGCATATAATATATAAAAGCATTAAAACCGAATTATTTAATTGTACTTTAAGCACAATGACAAAACAAAAGTTCTCAAAACGGTCCGTCTTCTACCTGAATATGGAGCTTTACTGGCTCCAGTTAATAACTTCTTAAGTTTGTTATCCTTATTGCTGAGAGCAGCATTAAAAACCTTGTCACATGTGTCCTCGCAATATGAAATAATGGTTGGAGTACCAGCTTCCTTAAGTGCCTGATCATAAGACAGACTGGGCAAATGATTGCCAATGCCCTTTTTTGGACCCATTCCAGCTCACATCGTAAATACTTGGGCAGAGCATAGAAGAGTACAGACGCAGCATAAACTAGGATTGCTCTTATATGCGTGACATAAAAGAGGACTAAATCCCTATATCGAAGCCTTGCCCGTTTAAGCCGAACTAGGAAGTACAAATGTTTAAACCCCTCCTTTCCAGTTCCGTTAACAAGCTCATTCCATGAAAAATCGCTTGTAATTATCAGACCTAGCAGCTTTCGCTTCTAACTAATTTAAGTTTGTTACCATTTTACAAGAATAGGATGAAGCTCAGTGCCTTACATAAAAACAGGCTGGGTCAGAAAAACTATGCTTTGCTGTAAGAGGAATTTGACTTGCCTTGTGCTAAGACTGCTCCC